AGACAGGACCCCTTAGGGAGCAAGCGGGGGAACCTGTTGCTCATTTTTTCTCCCTGATGTGAAGAAAAAAAGAAACACTGATGTATAATCAGGCCACCCAAACGAGATCTCTGAATATCCCTTGGCCCAGTCAGTCTTATTCAACTAGTCCCTACTCACGTGAAGGACCTTCCCGCTCAATGCTAAGCCCTAATCAGTAATGACTACCCTCTTGATATGGCCCCAGTTTGTGATAGTTCTAATCTTTAGATCATAACTTGACATTAGTGTAACAAGGAGGCTGCGAAAGGCATACTCTTGCTGGTTTCTCTAATGAACTCATGAACCAATTGTGTCACAATTCTCTCTAAATCCGGTAATGCCCTCTGGAGTAAAACAGACTGCTACCACATCCTGCTTGCTGTGTCTGGACCACCAGGCTGTCTCTCCTGGACCTTGCTTTGGCTGAGTTAAGATCCCCAAACCATTCAACCATTGATGTCTCTGGCCCCTTTCTTAGGTCTTTGGGATGCGCAATTATTCATATATTATCTTGCCCCTAAGACTAGACCACCTGGTCTCTCAGAGCTGATCAGCGTTGCCAGCCTCCTCACCCCCGCTGTGCTGTGGCACCACTGGACAGGGAGGAGGCGGGGCCAGGGTGGTCTCTCTGCAGGCATGATGGGGTTGGGACTGTCCCAGATGCAGCAACATGCTGGGTCATGGAATTTGTGGAGCCAGAGCACTTCTCCATGGCTGGGGTGTCTAGTGAGCCTGCTCATCGGATACCAGCAGCTGCTGAAGCACTCAGTCTGCATGGCCTCCCGGCCAGGAGAAAACACGCTCACTCCTACTAAACAGAGTCCAGGCTCCTCCAACCAGTCAAGGAGGCTTGCCTCCACCACTGGACCACCAGGGGAGTCCGTGAGGGTGTTTAGATGGAGAAGGAGACAGAAAGGTCACAGAGAGGAATGGGGTTGGAGGAGTGTGAGGTGGTAAGGTAGTAGGATGCAAATGTCAGTCGTGCACAAAAGGGACCACTTCCAGTGAGGAACAGGCACAGCAAGTGACTGTCTGCTACTTGTGATCCCCCAGCAACAGAAGAGAATCTGGGAATCCATCTCAGGTTACCCGGTTTGGGCCATAGAGAATCTAATCACTGCACTCCTTGTCCTATCCAATTCACTCGGGAACTCAAAGAACATCTTGGGCATCCTTACACCTTCTGTCTCCCTCCACCAAAGAGCCCTAGTCATACCACAACCCCACGCTGATGGATACCCCTTTCTTTTCACTGAGAACAAATACTGATGGCTGTCATGTGAATGACCCCATTTATCTACCTGAACTGCCCTGTGCTCAGAATTTATTGTTCTTCCAACTTGTGGAGGGAGGGGTTTGCCCCTCAGGTTAAGGAGTTTCCACAAGGGCATCCAGATGCCAGCCTCTAATGAGGGCATCCTCTACACTGCACAGTGCACTGCTTCTCTTCTGCACTTCTATGCATGGACTCCACGAGCTGTGGCACAGCCACACCGCTGTCTGCATCTCCACCAGGGACTCCAGCTCCACTGCACCCAGTTTGCATTTCGTTGCAGACACCTTCCCTTTTCTGAAGTTGTTCAAAGGGACAGCAGCAACAAACATGCTAGCCCCACATGGTCTTCAGTGTCCCCGGAGATTTGACACTGGCCACAGCCATATGCCGTGATTTGTTCTCAAGGTCCTGCCCATCTTCCTCAAGAACCTAATTCAAGATGTGCCTGTGTTCATTCTCCTGGTGACTAACCCAAGTGTCATGAGTGAGCCTGAAGGACTAGGAGTCACCACTGTGGCTCTCTCCCTTTCTCCAAAGCTCTTCTTCCTAACGCCCTCACCCATCACCCCATTGCCCCTCCTACCCAGTAGAAAAAAATAACTCACCAAATGATTATTAATAACCAGCAGGAAGTGCCAACATCTTCTGGGGACCCATCCTTGACAAACTTTAGTCCAAATGCTAAGGGCTGAAGAATGACACCTCCCATAATGCCTGTAAAACCCAACCCCAAGTCCTTGTGAAACAAAGCTGCTCACAGCTGTGAATCTTCACCTGTAACACACTTGTGACCCAGTCCCTCAACTAAACAACTAATCAGTGCATCATCAAAATTGCAGTGATGTGGGAGAGTTTGTTCTTTCCAAGCCTGTCTGCACTCACTTTATCACACAGGATCCACAACAACTGTGTGAGTGTGTGTGGCCCACACACCACAATGTATGGGGCATCTGTATCACATGCCTGGCCCCAAATCTCCCTGGAGTGTTTGTGAATTCCATACCTACACCTGCTGTGCAGGGTCAGCACGTCCCACTGTACTTCCCCAACAAGGTCTCACTTCTGTCACAAATCCTTTGTGCTATGGCACATGAGTTAGTAGATCCAGGCTGCATCAAGGTGTGTAAGCATTCAAACTCAGTCACACTGTATCCCAGATTGTGCTGATATACACTGATATTTAGAATTCTTTCTTCTGTTAGTTACTAAAGTTATGAAAAGGCTTCTTTTATTTTAGAAATGCATTCTAACAAGTTATGAATTGAAAGACATGATACCTATGATTATAAAACTTAAAAACGACTAAGTAAATCATGATACACAAACACAAAAAAATGTGTATTAACAGGATAAATGATATAAGATACAGGAAGGGTCCAACACAGTCATTCCATTTGTACATATATATGAAAATAGTCATTACTAAACTAAAATATACTCTTGCACCAGCGATTACAATGTTGAAGATAAATTTTAAATGGCAGAAGGAAACTGGTTTGAAGGATGTACACAAGTATGTCTAAATGTACATTCTAAATATGTAAAACTTAAATCAAATATACATTCAGTAAACTATTTAAAAAACAATTTAGCAAAAACTATCCATAATCATTTTACTATGGTTTACTAGCTACATTCCTAAAATATTTTGTGGCTACTGGGACTGTAAGGGGGAAAAAACCATACAATGGTGGGCTACTGGCAGTGCTTCCCAACTCCATTTCAGTGATATTATGTTCACAATTTGACACTGATAATTGTGTGAACATTTACACCAGGGAAATTAGCAAACACTGTGAAACAGGGCTTGATTTAATTACAGTGTAATTAAATGTCTCCACTTCAGAATAGGTAACATATGTTAATAAAGCAGACTTATCAAAAACATATATGATGTATGTAGCAATTACATTACAAATAGTATAAACATTGAGAACACAAACTTCCAATATTCTGAACTAGAATTCCATGCAGGAAAAAAGTCACTCATATTATTGGTGAAATTTAACAGATATCTTTGTTGTTTCTTTCCTTTCCTTCTTGTCAAATAAGATAAAATGGCCAAATCTCAGAAGACAAAGATGCGCAAAAATGTGAATAGAAAGTTGACCGAACAGAACACACAGGTGAAAAACAGACACATGGAAAACAAAAATTGATCATCAAGAACCCAGAGCAGGGAATTTGCCAGCAGTCTAGTGGTGGGGATTCCACACATCCACATCACGGGGCACAGTTTAGATTTCTGGACAGGGGATTCCACAGGCACGTGGCACAGTCAAGAAAAAAATTCTTGGGAAAAATGCAATTAAATCATAATGATTTTTTTTATACAGAGGTTTTAGTCTTCATGTGAAGTCAACCCTGATTTCACTGTTAGCTTTTAAGCTAAGTTGTTCAAGTGTGCACCCAGGGAGGGAGGACAAGTTCCTACATATAATCATGAGTTACATTTCTCTGGAGGGGCGGGAGAAGAGAGGTGATGGTTAAAGGGGTAAAGGAAAACAGCCTTGGAGACCATGCCATATGAGGGCCACACTGGACATTCTCAGGCCTTCAATGTTCCTCACACTGCCCAAAACAGTGAGCAGGTCAACCATAAGACAGGGCAACAGGGACATCTTGAGGTGGGTATATAAAGATGATGGACAGGACCCTGGAAACCAATCACTGCATATAGCGGTGAAGTCAGTGTCAAACCTGGGGAAATAACAAGGCAGTCCAGAGGCCCTGGCTTACTGCTGCTGTCTTGGAGAACTTCCAAAGTGGGATGGTGTTAGTAGGGTATGTGCAAGGGTGGAAATGAAGCTGGGGCCCCTGATGTCAATGCACGCTTCAGGTGTGCCTAACTCATGGTCAGAACATAGATGGATGGAGTGCCTGCTCTGAGGGGAAGAAGAGAAGCCAGTGGACATGTGCAGTATAACCACTCTCATGAAAGATGTGGCGGTAGTGAGCTCCTATGGAAGTCCCCCCGCCTCTCAGAGCTGGACAGCCCTTCCTTCTCAGAAGACAATGATAAAAACTGAATCACAGCATTGGTTCAGATGGGCAGATAAATGGAGTCATCCACAGAAGAGTAATCAATGCTGATTCCAGAGAAAACATAATCCTGTGCAATCAGCATGAGGCTGGGGTATAAGCAGGGCTCATGGGGTGGTGCACTGTGTGTGTGTGTGGCAGGGTGGCAGAAGGGTTAAGGATGGACAAGATGTTCTTCAAGTCCCCAAACCTGGGGTGAACGGTGAGCAGACTCACTGAAAACTATACCAGGCAACCTGGCATGAAATCCCAGATCCCTGTCCATCCTAAGGAGATCACAAACAGGTGATTCAGTGTCTCTGTGCCTCAGTTTCCTCTCTAAAAAGGGTCCATTTGCTCCAGAGGTTCTTCCCACTGTTACCACCTCAAACTTCTTCAGCATCACTGCCAGAAATATTTGCAATATTCATAAAGCCATTTCTCCAGTGTGATCTCGCTGATATTTAATCATGCAGCACCTTCGGGTGAAAGATTTAACACATTCCTGGCACTCACAAGGCTTTTCTCCAGTATGAACTTTCCAATGAATGGATGAAGAAGCACTGTTTTTGCTTAACAGTTTTCCCACATTCACTGCACTCATAGGCCTTTTCCAGTGTGAACTCTGTGATGATCATAGAGATGTGTTTGAGTAGTAAAAGATCGGCCACATTCAGTGCACTTATAAGGTCTTTCTCCAGTGTGAACTCTATGATGACGAAGAAGGCTCGAGCTATTAGAAAAATACTTCCCACATTCACTGCACTTGTAAGGCCTTTCTCCAGTGTGAACTCTTTGATGATCACGAAGCGTCCATCGAGCAGTAAAATTTTTCCCACATTCACTGCATTCATAAGGTTTTTCTCCATTGTGAACTCTCTGATGATACCGGAGGCTACTCGAACCAACAAAAGATTTTCCACATTCACTGCACTCATATGGGTTTTCTCCATTGTGCACTCTCTGATGACAAAGAAGGCTTGAGGTACTAGTAAAACATTTCCCACATTCACTGCACTTAAAAGGCCTTTCTCCAGTGTGAACTTTCCAATGAGTACAAAGTTTTGACCTACTTGTAAAAGATTTCCCACATTTATTGCACTCATAAGGCTTTTCTCCAGTATGAACATTCATATGGGCACTAAGATGTACCTTTTGGCTAAAAAACTTGCCACATGCACTGCACTTAAAAGGTCTTTCTCCACTGTGAATTCTCTGATGATTAGAAAGGGTTGACTGAGTTGTGAATGATTTTGCACATTCACTGCACTCATAAGGCCTTTCTCCAGTGTGAACTCTCTGATGATAACGAAGGCCGGACCTACTGGTAAAAGATTTCCAACATTTATTGCACTCATAAGACCTTTCTTCAGCGTGAACTCTCCGATGATGACGAAGACTGGAGCTACTAGTGAAAGATTTCTCACATTTATTGCATGCAAAAGGCTTTTCTCCAGAGTGAATGTTCTTATGGTCTCTGAGATGCTCATTCCGGCTAAACAATTTACCACATTCACTGCACTCACAAGGCTTTTCTCCAGTGTGAACTCTCTGATGATGACAAAGGCTTGACCTAGCGGGAAAAGATTTCCCACATTCACTGCACTTATAAGGCTTTTCTCCAGTGTGAAGTCTCAGGTGATAAGAGAGGGTCGACCTATTAGCAAGAGATTTCCCACATTCAGGGCACTCATAAGGCCTTTCTCCAGTGTGAACTCTCTGATGTGCAAGGCAACTGGATTTATAGGCAAAAAATTTTTCACACTGGCTGCATTTGTAAGCCTTTTCTCCAGTGTGAACTTGCACATGCTGAATAAAATTACTTCTTTGGGTGCCAGCTTTCTCACACTTGTTTACCTCACAAAATGCCTCACTAATGAGGACTCTCTCATCCTCTACAAGTATGTCTGTGTGGCTGGAAACTATCTTACCTTCTCCCAAACTGTGATGACTTTCTCCACTGTGAAAAACAACCTCACACTCCTTACTGTTGTTCAGTTTCTTCCCAGTATTAGTGGCCTGTGGCTGAACTCCCATGATGGCCATGAAATCATTCCCAATCTCCAAGTAGGTAGAGAAATTTCCTGCTGGGTGAACGGTGCAGGTCTTCAAGAATGAGGGTCTCTCAGTATTACATAGGAAAGGATTCTCTCTAACGTACTGTTTCTGGTGCTGTTGAATGTTTGCAGTAAAATAGAATTCTTTCCCACAGGCCACACATGTGTATACTTTCTGCTCCCGGTTTGTTCCTTGCTCTTCAGCCAAGTGCAAAATGTCTCTCAAGACTGGGATGCACATCTTACAAGGTTGGGCCTTCTCAGGTGACAAACATGCCCTGGGAGTACGAAACTGTGACACTCGTGCAGATTTGCTCTGTTCAGATGGTGTCTCTTCATCCTGGACTCCATGCCAAGAACCTGAAAACAAACAAGTGATGGTGAAGATCCGGTTGACTTTATTGGAGTGAATGACACCATCACAATTGTACGTTTGGCACATGAAAGAAGCAGTCCATGGAATCATGTTCAGGATATGAAGCTGTAGTCACACTGAGGAAGCAGCTGCTCTCACCAAGCACAGGACATAAGGACTGGATGTGACCCAAGGTGAAAGGCATGCTGCATAATTCACTCCTCTGTCAATGGCTTTTACCAGGACCACATCCTCTGGTGACCTGTGCAGAAGTATACTGTACATCCTGTATATCTGAAAATCTGGGTGGAACAGGTAGCTGGCGTCCAAGAAATAGTAAAGCAAACACACATGTTGCAAATGGCAAAATGGCCTTCTTTTTTAGGGCTGAATAATATTCCATATATTCCACCTGTTTGTTATCCATTCATCCATCAATGAACACTCAGCTTGTTTCTATCACTTGGATAGTGTTAAAAATGCAACAATAAACATGGGGTACAGATACCTTTTTGATATGATGATTTTACTCCCTATGGATAAATACACAGAGTTGGGATTGCTGGATCATACTGTAGTTCCTTATTTAATGTAAGGATTCTCCAAGATCTCCATAGTGGTGGCAACAATGTACACACCTCCCAAGAGTGCACAAGGGGTTCCTTTTCTCCACATCTTAACCAACATCATTTCTTGTCTTTTTCATAACAGACATTAGAACAGGTGTGACATGGTATCTCACTGTCATTTTGATTGGCATTTTCTGACCATTTGTGATACTGAACTTTTTCTTTTTAACATACAAGGTTCCCATTTGCATGACTCATTCAGAAAAATATCTTTTCAGATCTAACAGATCATACCTTGTTCAAACTGGTCCATGGCAATGAAAGCCTGGGGTTCTATTCAACTAAGCAACCATGGAACTTCAGTTACGATTTTTTTAATTAAGTAGGAATTCCCTGGTGGGCGAGCAGTTACGATACCATACTTTCACTGCCAAGGGTCCAGGTTTGATCCCTGGTCAGGAACTAAGACATTACAAGATGGAAATATATATATATATATATGTATATATCTCAAACTATCCATAAAATCATATAATGTTATAGAGAAGTGGTCTTAAAAGAGTTCTAAAAACATAATACAAACTTTAGCACAACTAAATAAAAAATGAAGAGAAGCAAATGGTGGTTAACAAAGGAGAGAAAACAAAATCATACAAAATGCTCTATAAATACCCAGAAAGGAAGAATGGTAGACTAACACAGGAAAAAAGAACAAGGATAATTTTATAAAATGATAACAAATACACTAGATATTTATCAAACTATATCAATATACTAAACATCGATAGTCTCAATGTACAAATTAAGAGAAAGATCATCAGGGTGGATCCAGAAACAGGATTCAGTGATATGTTGTCTCTGAGAAACACACTATAGGACTTCCCTGGTGGCCCGCTGGTTCACTGTTTGAAGTGCAACACAGGGGACACTGGTCCAATCCATGGTCAGGAACCCACATGCCACAGCAACGGAGCCTGCAGGCCAAAATTAATGGCTCTGCACACTCCAGAGCCTGTGCACCACAATGAAGACCCAGCACGGACTAATAACATATCTAAATAAATAAAACTCTAAAAGACCAAAACCCACTTTAAGTCAAAGCATGCATGTAATATTAAAGTAAAAGGATATAGAGAGATTAACAGAATTCAAAATAAAAATGTTAGTAACTATATTAGTAACTACATGTTAGTATCTAACCAGAGGCTTCCCAGGTTGCTCCGTGGTAAAGAATCAGCCTACCAATGTAGGACAAACAGGTTCAATCCTTGGTCCAGTAAGATCGCACATGAGGCAGGGCAACCAAGTCCACATGCCACAACTACTGAGACTGTGCTCTAGAGCCCAGGAGCCGCAACTACTGAAGACCAAATGCTTGAGAGCCTGTGCTCAAAAAAAAAGCCACCAAACCGGAAGTCTGTGTACCGTAACTGGCAAGTAGCCTCTAGTTGCTGCAACTAGAGAAAAGCCTGAACAGCAATGAAGACCCAGCATAGTCAACTGGGCATCTGGACACCTACAGACAAGTCTACTCCATCTAACAGCAGAGTAGTCTTAAGCTGACATGGAAAATTTATAAAACAGAGCACATCCTGGGCCAGAAAAAAACACCTTAACAAATTTGAAACAACAGAAATCAGACAATGTCTGTTCTCAGAGCGATCACACTAGAACCAGTAACAGCAAGATAGCTGAAAAATTGCAGAACAATGAGAACTCAAACAACCCAAATAAAACATGGAGCAAACAAGAAATCGCAAGGTAAACTTTTAAGTATCTTGAAATAAACACAACACTTCTCAAAATATGTGCACGCAGTGAAAACAATGGTTATACAGCAATTTATAGTACTGAATGCATATATTAGAAAAAATTAAGATCTAAAAGCAATCACCTTAGAAAACTAGAAAAAAGAGAAAATTAAATCCAAAGGAGGAAGAAAAGATGTCATTTAAGAAATCAACAAAGAAAAATAACAAAGACAAAGTAAGCTAGTTCCTTAAAATGACCAATAAAATAAAAAATATTCTCATCAGGGTAATCACAAAAACAAGACAGAAAAAAAAAAAACAAGACAGGACACAAATTACTAATATCAAAAATAAAAGAGGAGTTCCCCAGTATTTCAATGGTAAAGTCTTTGTAACTTTCACTGCAGGGGACAGTTTGATCTCTGGTTTGGAAACAAAGATCTCACGTGCCTGGAGGTACAGCCAAAAGAAAACAAAGAGAGACAAAGAGAGAAGGAATTAAAGAAAGAGGAAAAACCACTACACGGATGGATATTAAATGGTATAGTGAAATATACAGGCATCTCCAAGACCATAAATGCTATAACCTAAATGAAATGGATCAGTTTTTTGAAAGATACAGTCTACCAAAACCCACACAACAATACACAATCTAAATACGTATACATCTGTTAAAGTAACTGAATCAATAAGGAGTAATCTTCCAAAACAGAATGCAACTTGCCTAGATTGGTTAACTGGTGAAATATGACAAACATTTCAGGAAGATATACAATTGTCTACAATTCCATTCAGAAGACAGAAACAGAAGGACTGCTTCCTAATTCTGTGAGGCCAACATTACTCTAATACCAAACCAAAAAGATGCAAAAAAATATATACACCAGTATCTCTAATGAACATAAAGGCAAAATCACAAAGCATCAGTAAACTGATTCAAAAACTATATAAACAGAATTACATATCATGACCATGTGGGATTCATGAAAGGCACCTAAGGTTTATTTCACACCATATTAAAAGTTACAGGAATCAAAACAGCATGCTAATAGCATAAAGACAGATATCTACTCCAGTGAAACAGACTTCAGATTATAAAGATTGACCCTCATAATATATGATCCAATAATTACTGAGAAGAAGACCATTACTATTCAATAGAGTTTTCAACAAATAGTGTTGTAAAAACTGGATAGCCACATGTACAAGAATGAAGTTAGAGTCCTACCTAATACCATATACAAAAAAGCATTCAAAATATATCAAAGGCCAAAATGTAAGAGCTGAAGTCACACAATTCCTAGGGGAAAAAACAGGGAAAACTTTAAAAATGTTAGATTCAGCCATGAATTCTGACAAATGATCCCACCAAGAGCAGGACAGAACTGGAGGTGGCTGAAGGTGAAAGGCGGCTTCTACAGTTCACGCCTCTGTCAATGGTTTTTACCAGGAACACACTTCCTGGACCTGTGAAAAGGTAAGGAAGTATACTTCCAGAACTCAGAAACTCTGACTGCAATTTTTGTGTGTGTGGGACGAGAACTTTTAAGATCTACTACTTTGGAAATTTCTTTTTTCTTTATTTATGG